TAAACAATGATAGGAAAAAAAAACATTTATGGTTTAGTAGAAAAGGCAGATCTGGTGAGTTTGATCACTTAAAAAAAAAAAAGAAAAGGCAGAATTTGTAATGAGACAATCTTTTAAAACAGACATAGATTAAATTTCAGGTTTTTCAACTATAAAACATGACTAATAATCACAGAATTAACCCCAATGAGTAGTAAGTAAGAAGAGGGTTTCCTACCAATTCACATTTGTTCTGTTTAGCCATTCACGGCTGCCTAGAGTTACTATTTTTATAGACCACCCAGAATGGGCCAGCTCCTTGAATCCTTTGCCAAAAACAGCTAGATGCCTTCTTTACCATCCACAAAACATCAATAAAGTCAGAAAGATTAACCCTTTTAAGTCTGTTTAGTTTATTTTCTTTTTTGGTGTGATGACTATTTAGTAACTCAAAACTCTTCAAATTAGTCATTTTTGCTGCACATTACCTTTGACAAAACCCTCTTACTTTAGATGTGAGATGTATTTATATTTCATCACCAAAATGCCTTCAGGAAATGTTTAAGGCATACCTATATTTGGCAAAATTGTGTTTATATATATTTTTTTACTTGGGCCCATATCAATAAGGCACAAAAGTTCAATTTTATATTGAACATCTCAAATGGCATTAATAACTTCATTATGGTAAAGTGATCTATTCTTAAAAAGCTTAGATTTCTACATTAAAAATACTTTGGAAATCTCTGATTCAAATGTCTATTTTTCTGTACAAACTTAATTTTGTGGTACCTGAGAAAAGTTCAGATAGAGCTCACAATCTGTTTTTCAAAAGCCTACGCAGTTTCTGTATCAATTAAAACATAGTAATGCATGCTTGAGGTTTCTAGATACACAAAATCATAGATAAGGAAGTTGTTCAGTATCTTCCAGGTGGTAATAATAATGTTCAACTGGGAAGTTCCTGCTCCTTGGGCAGACTCCCAGACCCTAGAAATGATGAGGCTAATCAAGAAGTGCTTCTGAATAATATATATGATGGAACATTTCAAGTCCCAATATTTGGTTCAGGGACAAGTTTCAGTCTAAAATCATTATTCTCTGGGCTTTGAAATTTCATTTTTCACGCCAAATTTTGTCTTGGTTTCTATGAGTTTCACAGCCAGTTTCTTACTTCTTTCTTAGTGTCTGGAGATAGTCCAATTTGTTAAGATACTTCTATATTTCTTCGTTCGTTCCAGCTCTTCTCTGTGTTTTCTTCAATTTAAGCCTTTTAACATGTTTTTTAATTTGAATAGTTCCTAATATTTCCACTACTTCTTGGCTTTCTGTCCCTAAAACCTCACCCAGAGAAAGATACAGATCTTGGTTGGTTGATCCTAAGATTTTCAAATATTTAAATTTTCTCCTGTACTATCCATCTAATCCCTTTTTTAACTCAAACCTTTTCTTGATAAAATGGGGACCATCATCTCCTTCTTTCATAATGGATCAATCTACCATGGCAATGACATCCATTCCCATACCCCCCTTCACTTTAGCTGCTGTGAAGATCATTAATTTGTTTAAAATTTTTTTATTTTTTGTTCCAGTTTCCCCCCCTAAATATTTATTGACTCATGAGGGCGTCCACAACAAAATGTCTCCCCGAACCCCACATTCACTTCCTGCAGCATAACCCCATCCTCTTTATTCATTCATCGAATACTACTGTACAAAACCCCATCCCCCAACTTCTAGGGAGGGGAGGACTAGAGATTGAGTTCAAGCACCAATGGCCAATGGTTTACTCAATCATGCCTACATAATGAAGCCTCCATAAAAACTCTAAACAATGGGGTTTGAACAGCTTGTAGGCTAGCAAACACAAGGAGGTGCTGGGAGGGTGGTACACCTGGAGAAGGCATGAAAGATCTGCACCCCTCCCTCATACCCTACCCTGTGCATCTCTTCCATTTGGTTCGACTTATGTATCCTTTATAATAAACCAGTAATATCAAGTAGAGTGTTTTCCTGAGGGTTTTATTTATTTATTTACTTTTTGGTAGAGACTGGTCCTTGCTATGTTGCCCAGGCTAGTCTTGAATTCCTAGACTCAAGCTACCCTCTTGCTTTGGCCTTTCAAAGCACTAGGATCACAGGCCTGAGCCACTGCCATGGCTTCCTGAGTTTTGTGAGCTATCCTAGCAAAAATATCAAACCTCAAGAGGGGGTCTTGAGAACTCCCAATTTATAGCCAGTTTGTCAGAAGTTATAGGTCACAATCTAGGACTTGCAACTGAAGAGGGGGATAATCTTATGGGACTGAGCCCTTAACCTGTGGAGGCTGTGCTAACTCCAGGTGGTTAGTATCAGAATTGGGTTAAATTGTAGGACACCCAGTTGATTTCCAGAGAATTGGAGAATAGCTCAGTGTGGAAAATCAATACATTTGGTGTCAGAAGTGTTGTGTAAAGAAAAAGGTTTTCCTTTTCTTAATCCCTATATTTTATATGATGACATCTACATAATTCTTCCTCATACAACAGTTGTTTATATATCTGCTCCTCCTATTAGACTGTACTTTAACTCATATTTGCATCCCTGACTTCTTGCTCAGTACCTGGGCAAACATTAGGTACTCTATAAATATTTGCTGTATGTCTGACTGAATAAGTAAATGAATACTTCATATAGCCTCAGATAAGAAATGAGGATCTAAAAGCACACACAGTTTCTAAGAATTAGTGAATGAACTTATATAAATGTATTACGCTCTGGGATAAATACAGTACTATCTCTAAAGGAGAAAAAATTTAATAATAGCACAAAACAAAACTTCAGTAAGAGGAAGAAAATGTCTACACCAAATTGTATAACTGATGAAAAGCAGTTGACTAAAGCAATACCAAGAAAGTCAGTGTGGAGAACTTCTTGAAATCATAAGTAAAATTAAAAAGATAAGTTGAAAGAGAGATGGAAGTTCTTTCAGTTTAAAATGACATACATAAAGGTACAAAAGTAGGAATTAATAAATATATGCAGCGTATGGCAAGTAGGTTAGTTGTCAATAAATACTAGATACACGTTTAATACATGTAAGTGCGTTTATAGCAACTCCTATGAAAAAGAAGGATTTTTTTGGTTGAAACTACAAGTAATTTTTCTTAAAAGGGAAATAGAACTAACTAAAGACATAAAAAAAAAAAAAAAAACCCTTAGCATTAATCAGTGGGGGAACATGCATTCATTCATACCACAGATATTTACTGAGTGACTACTATGTGCCAGGCACTGCTCTAAGCACTGGAAAACAAAAGAGATAAAAATTCATGCTAGGAAATAAAGAAAATAAAACAAATTACATAGTATACCTAGTATACCAGAGGGTGAGAGGTGCCATGTAGAAAAGTACAGGAAGAAAGAGGATAAGGAGTGCAGTGGCAGGACCAGGGGTGGCCATTGAGAGAAGGTATTCCACAAAAGCCCCACTGAGGTGGCATCTGGGCTAACACCTGACAGAAGAATCTCTAGAAGAAGAGCACTGCAGGCCATGGAAATGACAAATGACCTCAAAGTGGGAGCATGCTTAATGTATTTGAGGAGGAGCAGAGAGACTGATGTGGCAGGAGTAACCATAACATTTTTGATCCAGAAGATAGAGGAATAATTTTTTTAAAAATTGCAATATCCACTGTTAAGAAATGTGTGGAGAAATGGATACTCCTTTCACTTGTTGGCATGAGTATAAACTCATACAGTCCTTTTGGAAGGCAATTTGACAGAATCTACCACAATTTCAGATATTCATACCCTCTAAATCCAGTGTAGATTCTGCCATGTACCACACACACACACACACACAAACACACACACACAGATATGAAAATACATTTTATATACATACATACATGCATATCAACAAATAACTGGAAATACCTAAATGCCCAGTCACAGGGTAAATGATAGCAGCTATTCTGCAAGTACACACTGGCGTTTTAAGCAGTCCAAAGAACCGTGGAGAGATCCCAAATCTCTTTCAAAGGGTCAGTTGGTCCCTCTTCCAACTACCTATATGAGTCTGAATATTCTTCATTTATTTTTTAAAATGTTTTAGTTTCTAATATAATAAATATCAGTAGATAAGCCACATAATCAAAAATTCTTTGGGATACTTCTAAGACCTAAAGATAGGGAACTTTTTGGAAACTAACTATACAGAAATAAAATGGTTATAGAAACCCTTTCTTTAACCACAGTCTAAGTTCAGACTCTCATCTATTACCTGAAATACCTCAACAGTCTCCTAATTCTTGCTCCAGACTAGTCTCTCCTCAGTTCAGTACATTCTCAATACAACCCTAAAAGTCATCTTCCCAGTATGGAAAGCTGATTATGTCTCCTCCACCTAAAAACCTAGGAAGGCCTTATTGTATATAATAACATTCTAGGCCCTTCATTATCTAGCTCTATTATACATACTCTAGCCATATATCTAGCCTTATGCACACTCTCCACATATGAGATACACTAAACTTTTCACTTTTCTGAAAATGTCATGCCATTTCATAATTGTGCCTTTAAACATGCTGTTCCCTCTGCTTAGCATGCCTTTCACATACTTTCCACAGGGCAAACTAGTATCATACCTCAAGGTTCAGCTTCCTCTGTAGGGATTTCCCTTACTTATCACTCCATCATTCAACAATAAAAAAATGCATTGAGCACCTATCAACATGACAAGAACATTCATCTCAAGGAACTCATACTGTCATTTATATTCTTTTAATACTTTGTTCATACTGCTTTATTACATTTATCACATTATACCAAAGTCATCCTTTTACACATCTTTCCTTCCAGCTGGATCAGATGTCTAAAGGCATGGTTCTGGTCTAATTACTCTTTACATATCTAGGATGCTGATTTGTTTTCAAAACAACTCAAATTTTCTCTAACTTATCACTAGAGGTAAATAATAACAAATAATGAAAATTTAAATCTTTAGCATTAGTATCCAAAACAAATAACTATACACTTACCTCATGGGTCCATAGTTCAGTATTACAAACGCCAGTACTATCATCACACAGATAGCTCTTCGCTTTGGACTAGGGACTTTAAGCCTCTGGTTCTAAAGGAAATGACCACATTAAATACAATTAAACTACACAATAATCTCATGAAAAGTAACACCTAAGAATTTTTATCTTCACCAGTTAAATCTTTTCATATTAAAAGAAAAAAAAACAAGAAAAAGAAAGAAAAAACCTCAAAGGTGACAAAATAATACTTTTCAAAAGACAAGGGCAGAGTCTTCTAAGTTCCCTTTTCTAGCAGAGAGAAAAAAGGAGAGAAGCAGAAGAAAAAAAAAAAAAACACAGCAGTCACTCTGCTGCAATTGCCTCTTCACCCAAAAGGAAAGAATTCAACAATTTTATATGTTTATAGATCCCCAAAGAATTCTGATACATTTCTGTAGTTAGTCTCCCTGTCTTTTAAATCATTGTTTTCAGTAACACATTGGAGTATTCCCATATTTGTATCTCAGGGGCAAAACAGAAAGAACAGTGTAAGAAGCCCCACTCAGTAGACATCTAAGTGGTTCAGAGTGGTTCAAGACACCATTGCAGTGGGAAACTCTAGAAGTGTAGATTTCATTAACAGAACAGAGGAAAGAAGATTAACCTTCTTGGGACCAGCAACAGAATGCAAAAAACGTAACAGTGGTCAGATGAAGTGAAAAAAGATAAAAAACATACATACATACAAACACACACACACATATATATACATATATATATATATTATTAATATGTATAATTAAAGTTAGAAAAGCGTTGGCTTCTACCACCACTGTCTATAAGAAGTCCTTGTGAAGAATAATTGAATACCTTCGTAGTTGTGACATACGTAGTCTGTTATTGAAGCTGACATCCAAAGGATTGATAATAGCAACAAATTCGTTTGTAGCAGCTTTGGCATTATGAACTCTTCTAAATCTCTTTTTATCTTTTTCTCCACAGTTAACAGATTAACTTTTAATTGGTTTAGCTATTAATATATCCATGTGTTATCTCTTGCATTAGTGCAATGAAACTGATTATGCAGCAAAAACCTATAGTTTCTACATGGTTAAAATTCGCTATTGCCAGGCATGGTGGCTCACACCTGTAATCCTAGCACTCTGGGGAGGCCAAGGCAGGATAGCTTGAGCTCAGGAGTTCGAGACCAGCCTGAGCAAGAGTGAGACCCAGTCTCTACTAAAAAAAGAAAAAATTAGCCAGGTGTGGTGGTACATGCCTGTACTCCCAGCTACTCAGGAGGCAGAGGCAGGAGGATTGCTTGAGCCAGGCTAATGCCACGGCACTCACCCGGGCAACAGAATGAGACTCTGTCTCAAAAAAAAAAAAAAAAAAAAT